GAAATACTATATCCTAGTATTTGGTCCACTAAATTTATCTGACAGTTAGTTTTCAGTTAAATACTGACTAACTAGTTAAAATTAGCAGCATGCCAAACTATTTAACAGTACAATGCAACTTACACATCCCAAAATACAATGTACTTACAAGTGGCATTCTTCTGCATTAGGAATACTTATACTTTGGCCCTTAAAGTATATTTTTCTAATTGTACTGTAAATTGTAAAGGAGTATTTTTACACTGTGGTATTGTTACTTTTACTTCACTTTAAGACCTGAAAAACTTCCACTGATAAAAAGTAAGAGAAGATCAATGGGATCAAGTATTGGGTTAAAGTAAAGTTTTAAGGATCTCCAGAATATTGAAACACTTCATTTGAGCCATTTAACTGTATAATCTAAACCCAGGGGGCTGGTCTGTGACCCAGCATGTGTTTTTTATTTAACCCTTTACTCAAGTGTCCCTCCTTCAGTCAGCATGATGCTGTTTTGTTACCTTGTCCTCCAGCAGGGGTCCAGCTCTCCCCAAGCACAAACGAAGCCTGGCTTTTAAGCACACACACACAGAGATTTGCTTATTTCCCCCTGAGCCCTGGGAGGTTAACGACATGCCAACGACATGCCAGTGGAGAACAAGACCTCCGTCTCACTCCCCTCCTCTTTTAGCCAGCCCCCCATACCAGCACACCTGCACTGGGACTTTGTGGTTGTTCTGCACCAGCACAAACCTCTCAAACCTTCGAACAGAGCTCATTTCTTGGTAGTGTCTGGTTGCGGGAGCACTCCCCTTACACCACCACCACCACAAGTACTACTACCACCTCTATTTTTTTCCAAGCTCCATGAAGCTCTCACCTTTTACTCCCAGGCAATCCGATCCTATTTGGAGTGTGTGACGAGGGCCATTCTCCATCACCTCACTGATCAAGAGCCCCCCTGTAAAGCGGGCCCAGGGATGAGCAGGTACAGATTTGGTGAGAAGAGGGAGTGGGGCATGTAGTGAAAGATTCTGCAGTGAGCCAAGGAGAAGATTAAACGGGGGCTAACCGTCAGTGCTCCTCTACACCCCCCTCTTCCTTCAGCACTCCCTTCTACTTCACTAGTGTCCTGAGGGGGAGAACCAGGGGGAGAGAGGGGAGGAAGGAAGCCAGGGGAGGCCAGTGGCACAGTGGTGGCTGAGCCATCTTGTCATCATAGCAGGACAAGCACATTCAACCGTGTCCTCTGTACCCTCCCATCTTATTCCAGACACTGTATTGCCCCTCCGCTGAAATCCATCAACCCCCCCCCCCCCCCCCCCCCCCCCTCTCTTGTTGGAAGAGTGCTCTCCGCTGGTGTCTTTTCTTTTTTAAAGGGCAGAGATGAGTCCTGGGCTCTGCAGTCTTTCCAGGCATCCAAATTAATTTGCGTCTGGGCAGCAACATAAGCAGCACGGGGCTACTTGATGAGAGTGTAGGGCAATGACATGCACTGGCAGTCATACCTTGATCTCTTGCTTTCTTTCCTTGTCACTTTCCACCTCACCTTAGTGCCAGACTCATGCCAGCCTCATCCACATGGGTGGCACATCCAGACCAATCCTTGCGTTTCTAAGAGGAGTAATAACTGGTGCGACTGAGAATACACTTCAAATCAAGTGTTCCTGGTTTTGTGTTCATCAAATATCCTTCTTAATGCAATCTTAAATTACCAAACCAAAACCACCAGCAACCCAAAAAACACATAAATCACAACGTGTATTGTCCTCACAGTGAATAAAATGAGGATACGCTACATTGAGCAATTTATGAAAATCCCTCTGCTAATTTTGCTGATCAATACCTCAAAAACAGATCAGTTTCATAATAATAAACACACTAAGGACATCTACAAAACAGCATTCCTTTAGTTTGATAAATGGACGTCAAAGTGAACTTAATGCAATTTGACATGCATTTGAAGTTGTGATCCAAAAAGGGGCCCACAGTTAATGCCTAATTAGCGTCCCTAAATAATAAAGCAACTTAGACTAATAATTATTGCATGTACCCATTCTACCAGTTGCACTGACAATTAACCTTTCTCAACTGGTGATTCGCAATTTGAGTAAATCCTGTTATCAGCAAATATAACACATGGCACACACACACACATACGCGTTTCAAACACCACTCAAGGAAATCTATGCAGTGTTTACGGTCGGAAAGCAGAACAACAAAACAAACAGCAGATATCCACTTTCAGTAAACACCACCCAACCACTTATGCAGTATCTTCCCAGTGGCTTAGAGTGGGTGGAGAATCAACTTTAGGTGGCTGCTGTGAATGTCATTGAACTACTTGTGTTTACCCAGGCTTAATATTGGCATGACAAGGTCTCTTTAAGCACCCAACGAATGCTTCAGAATGTATTGGGTCAATTCTGCTCCAGGGCCTATAGTTTTATAAATGCCTGGCAAAAGAAATTGACAATTAGAATTTTAGAGCCTAAAGAGTGGTGGAAGAATTTAAGTAATATGGAGCAGTGGTGGAGGAGTCACAAAAGAAAGCGTGGTTGTCTCTGCTGCTGCTGACCACTGTTCAAATAACAAATGCTGTCCAAGTCTCTGATATTAGATCAGTGGAGCCAAAAACATGATTACTCAGAGACAAAATAAAGGTGAAAAGATTCAGGGTTGAGCATTATCCCAAAATGTCTCTCCCTCATCCCAATTTGGCAGCACTTGGCTTGTTGCCCACTCACATTGTGTGGACGGCCCTGCCACTGTTGCCATGGGGATGTGTGGACCTGTGCAGGCCCTGAAGGCAGAATGGCCTGGTGGTGAGGTGGTGAGGTGGGGGTTATCATCAGCAGCAGACTCCGCTGGGCCCTCATCCAGAGGCCTGGGTGCATGAGGAGCACCCCCAACATCTCTGCAGGGCCTCTCTCCCGGTGGACACTGCTGCCGATTCAAACCCAGTAGACTAGAGGCTCTGAGATGGGACGCAGTAGTGTAGGGCTCCGGCCTGTCCGCTGGGGGTCGGCTGCCTGACTCCCGTAAGCCTGGGCCAGACGGGGTGGGCTGGGGTGGGTAGGGGCTAGGCGAGGCGAGCTGGACTGCGGCCCAGTGCGGTGACTGCCTGTCTGCCCAGGCGCTGGGCCACGCTGCCACTCCTCCCTGGGCTCGTGCCCCTGCACTTGGATTTCAAAGGGATGTGACAGGGGGGACTGGCTTTCCCTCTCCATTGCAGGATGCCTGCCCCACCAACTTCTCCAAAGCCCCCCCTCAAACAGCTTTCAGCCCCCGCTCTCCCCCAGCCCCCAAATGCCCCACCAACAGCTTTTCTGTTTCAGCCATGAACCCAGGCTCCCTCTCACACTGTGCCATTCCCACCACTGCTGCCTCACATTTGGGAGGGGAAGGGGGAGGTTGTGCTGCTACACTGCACCCATCTGCCCCATGTCTTTCCATGCTGTGGACCATGATGCTGCAGCATGGCTCTCTGGGCGCCGTAAAGACTTTGGCAAGTACACTGGGCCTTCAAGCACCCCTCCCGTTGTACTCTCCCTGTCCACCACATGCACACACTGATGCACACCATCTGATTTAAAATGTACTTACACAAAAACTAGTACATGTGATCATGCTCATGTCTTGGCGAGACAGAAGGTGGTTAATACAGATGGATGATTTACACTGAAACTGTAAAACAATATGTTTAAAATGCACTGACTTTACTTCAAGCTACCTCAGTTATGCCCACTGAACCCCAAGCCATCTGCAAAGGATCTAAGTCGGATGCGGTGCCACTGTGTCTGTGTGGCAACCAGCTCATTCAGCAACTGGCCCGTCATCAGTAAGCATCCTACAAAACTGAGATGACACTGACAGGCTGTGTTCAATTGGCTGAGATCTCCTTTTTCTCCCCTCTCTCTCTCTCTCTCTCTCTCTATCTATCTAGGTTTCTCTCTTCATCGCTCCCTGCATGGCATTTCTCTGGCAGGTCCTCCAGTAAAATTCCTCCCCTCCTGGTCTCGGCATTCCCGCAGCACAGCCTCCCTGCCTGGGCAGAGCGGAGTGGCAGGGGCTGGGTGGGATGGCGCTTCCCCCGAGCTGGTCCCAAGCTACGACTACAACTCCAGCCCACAACACATTCCTCCAGCCGCTGACCAGTCCCCCCAGCAACCAGGAGAGAGGTGAAGAGAGGAGGGACGGAGGCTTAGTGGAGGTTTTTATCTGCTGGGGTGCTACACAGGAATAATACGCATGTGCATGAAATATCTTACAGGAAACAGCTTCCACTCATCAACATGCTCATCGCTGTACATGTTCTGATCTGCATAGCTCTCAGATCATCTGGAGTGATCAGTTTCTTTGTAGTTTCTCTACAAAGATTCAGTTCAATGACGAGCCTTCTCAGAGGTTCACTGATGCTCAACAAGGTACAAATGGAAATGTGGTGTTTCTCAGCATGTTAACAGACTGCACTCCCCTCCACATCTCAGAGATGTGATGGGGAGTGTAGTCCAAAGTTGCTCCTGGATAGCTCAAGTAGCAGTAGGACAGGAGCCGGACGGTCCCCTCCTCCGTTGCCTCCTACTTCTCCCCCAAGCCGAGCCAGGCGCTGTGTTTACTCTCCTAATTACAGGGGAGGGGCCGGCTGACAGGCGAGCCATCACAGATTCCCCACAGGCCTGGGGCTGGGAACGCTACAAACACCCGCCGCTGTCTCCCAAATGTGAGGGCGATGTCCAACTGTCACAGGGGAGCCTTCACTGGCAGAACCCAAGGGCCCAAAGAGAGATATTAAAGACATGAGAGGAATTGGCAGAGTTGGCACTAACAGGGGGTATGCTTGAGAAGTCGAAGTGGGGAGCTGGGGGCATCGCCAAAGTGTCATTCAAAGCAAAGTGGGGTTTGGACAGGGCATAAACACTGATTTACACACACACACACACACACACACACACACACACACACACACACACA